TTTACTGTAATTAGTTATTAACATCTGTCTTCTTAAAAAGTATGATTTTAAGATGACACTACCAGGTTTCTTTAAGTTGATGTATTTACAAACATGAATTACTAATGAGCAACACTTGATCAGCAGATCAACATTTACTGATGCATTATTAAAATTATTAGTTAATATCAGGTAATTAACTGACTTAATGAACAACTTTATTTCACTTTACATTAATAAAGATAAATAAACACTAATAAATTGTTCATGTTTGTTCCTGTTGGTAAAAACTTTATTAACATTAACTAATACTGTACATCCTTCCAGTAAAGTGTCATTGATTTATTATATCATATATAACATATAGTTGTATTTGACAACGAGTGGAAGAAACAGTAAAGATAAAGTATCATTTTGTCCTCAATATGTACGTGGGAGAGTCTGTATGACATCCAAAAAACCTTTTCTGAATAAAGTTGCTCAGCCAGAGAGTGTTTTACTTGGCGATCAATGAGAATGAATGAGGAGAGAAAAAAAGAGCAGAAATTGAAAATATAAATGATGTCTGGGAGGAAGTAAGAGAAGGGAGGAGGTGTTTTACCGCTGATACACACACTTAAGAGAGTGAAGGATCCCTTGGAATTATTTTCACACAATATTTATGTGTCTCTGAGGTTTTAAAGAGCAAAAATCAGCTATGTTTTCCAAGGTCGCCAGTAGCGCAGTGCGCATGCGCGGAGAAGTAGTTTGCCTCTCGGGAGCGCGCAGAGCGGCGACGCGCGTGGAGTTTATTCGCCAACGCACTCAAACTTTGCCGTTATTCTGTGTGTACGGTAAGCTTACGTTTATAACGTCGAAATAAAACTAAAACTGTCGCATGGATGTACATGTTATCTGGCGATTTAGAGATAAATGTAGACGGTTGGTTATTTTATTACGTTGCCGAATGTAAACAAGCTGACGGTTTGTCACTGAAGGATGGTTATACATTGTTTTATCATTATTGTGTCTGTAAAATGTTTATTTGCATTTATGTTTTACACAAAGACTAACAGGAGAAATTATGTATGCAGAAAATGAGATTTGTTTGTGTTTTCGTAATATTTTTAAGGTAAATAAGCGTATTTGTTATTAAAATGACGTCACATTTTAACTACCATACTAGTTTTAACAACAGACATCTTTTAATTTATGACAAATGTCATTTTGGATTTCTTTATTTTGATTTTTGTGGGATAAATGTGAGCATACTGGGATTATATGAGCATGCAGAGCCTGCTATTGACTGAGTGAACTTGATTCAAGATAAAAACAGTAGATGTCTGCTATTGTTTTTACAGTTTCTATGTCTAAAACTGAGACCTAGACGGAGCAGACAAACACACAGACTGTTCCCATTACATCCCACTCATTTCCTCGCTGTGTCTGATGGGCTGAGTGCGGCTGTGTGTTTGTTTGTGTAGGAAACACACAGGTGTAATTAAACCCAATAACAGTCTGGATGGGTGGAGATGTGGTGAAAGCACATATTCTAAATTCAATCTGACTTGGTCAAAATACACAGATTATTCTTCAGATGACGATTGAGTAAATTCAATAATTATACAATGTCTGGAAATAAAAAAGATAACAATACATTTTATTACTTATTAAAGTTATTTATTGATTAAAAAATAAAGACAGTCATTGACTTATTTGATCTGTTCGGGATCTGCAGCGAGTTTAATATAAAGACTGATCAATGCATCTGTCAACAAGTGGTTTTATTTGACAGTGAGCCCAGAAAAATGGCAATTGCAAAACCAAGAAACTGTTTATGAAGACAGTGTTTTGTATGAAGAAATTAAATGTTATGTATGTGAAAATAATTGTGATTCTCGTACTGTCCAGTGTTGCCAGATATAGCTGCTTTTTTCCAGCCAAAAAGCTGTCCAAAACCTGCCAAAATGCACAAAAACACTAAAAATGTTAGACTAATATTAAATATAATTTTTATTTATGTAAATCGAAAATAACCTAGCAACACCAGGGAAGTGTCACAGAACCACAACATAAGCGGTTCGCATCGAAACACTCACCCACACACACGACTCTTAATCTTAGAATAGGGTTGACTTTGAAATGGGGAATAAATTCGTCCTATTTGGTGTTTTAAATTATTTTAAACATAATTAGGTGCTACTTGTCAATCAGTTTCTATATTTGTTCTTGCTGTTAATTGTGAAAAAAAAAAATTGATTAAAGTGTCATCATAAAGCGCTGAGTTTTATTGCGGGCGCTGCGTGATGTGTGTGCATGCGAAGGCGAGTCAGATTTGTCCAGAGAGTCAGATTTTCATACAGCTTTCCTTCATCTCTTCTGACAGATGGGTTTACGCTGTTTGTGCTATGGACTGGTCACTACTGACTGAATGGAGTAGGAGCACACAGTTATGTTTTGTTGAATAAGTTACATATACAATTTTCGTTTCGAAACAGCCCAAATTTTGTCAACCCGCCCATGCCATTGTTAACCCACACAATCAAATTCAAAACCGCCCAATCTGGCAACACTGGTACTGTCTACATTTTCACTGCTTTTTAAAGACATTTTCTTTTCTTTTGCCTATTAATCTGTGATGCTTTAAATTATGTTTTTGTGACAATTATACTTTCAATTCAGGACTGCTATCTATCTATCTATCTATCTATCTATCTATCTATCTATCTATCTATCTATCTATCTATCTATCCATCTATCCATCTATCCTTCCATCCATCCATCCATCCATCCATCCATCCATCAAATTAGAGCTGCACGATTCTGGCTAAAATGAGAATCGAAAATTTTTTTGCTTAAAATAAAGATCACGATTTATAATAATATGTAGGTCTACTGTTTTTTATAAATAATTCTATTCTACTTATAATAATTCTGATGTTGAATTATCTGATGAAAAATTATTATGTTTGACATATATGCTTGCAATCTGTCATTACTAGACAATTTAGTTCACTGGTAAAATCAGACGTTTGTCATTATCAGATTATATTCAACAATATAGGCTAGAGTAGTTATACTGACATTGTAAACATTTATTATCATGCACAACTCTGTTCGCTATGAAAGAAAAAACATATTAAATGCTTGTCGTAATCATAACTCTAAAATGCGATTTTGACTGCTAAGTGCTTTTCATACTTCACGCGCGGCTCCCAAACGATCACTCTGTGCCACAAACTGAATATTATTTACAACCGTATTAACTGTTACTCACAACATATGCAGGTTCTGTTCACTAAAGCTCACGGTCAGCAGCGTGTGATTTCCCGGCCACAAAAAACAATATTATATGAAGACAAAAATGACTTTTTTAGGTGAATTATACCTTATGAATACAGTATGTGACTCATTCAACATCATTTGGAGGTGTTCATGTCATTGAGCAACATATGTGAAACAATGAAAATACTCGTGCAGCCGCCTTTTCTTCTCTCCTGAACTTGAAAATTTGATTGACAGAATCGTAGAATTGTCGGATTTAGATCGTCTAAGGCAGGCGTGTCCAAACTACGGCCCGCGGGCCATCTGCGGCCCGCAATCAGTTTTGTGGCGGCCCGCGAGGCTTTTTATAAATATCAATAGAATCTGGCCCGCTATACAAAAATGAACATAATTCAATAAATAACCACCGGGTGTCGCTATTACATGCCTTCAATTAAGCAGCAGTTCTTGTTATGATCTATCTATCTATCTATCTATCTATCTATCTATCTATCTATCTATCTATCTATCTGTCTGTCTGTCTGTCTGTCTGTCTGTCTGTCTGTCTGTCTGTCTGTCTGTCTGTCTGTCTGTTTGTCTGTCTGTCTGTCTGTCTGTCTATCTATCTACACACAGTTGAAGTCTGAATTATTAGCCCCTCTTTGATTTATTTATTCTTTTTTAAATATTTCCCAAATGATGTTTTACAGAGCAAGGACATTTTTACAGTATGTCTGATAATATTTTTTTTCTTTTGGAGAAAGACTTTTGTTTTATTTCGGCTAGAATAAAAAGCGGTTAAAATTTTTTTTATGAACCATTTTAAGGTCAAAATTATTAGCCCCTTAAGTCTTCAGAACAAACCATTGTTATAAAATAACTTGCCTAATTACCTTAACTTGACTAGTTAACTTGATTAACCTAGTTAAGCCTTTAAATGTCACTTTAAGCTGTATAGAAGTGTCTTAAAAATATGTAGTCAAAATTATTTACTGTCATCATGACAAAGATAAAATAAATCAGATATTAGAGATGAGTTACTAAAACTAATATGTTTAGAAATGCGTGGAAAAAAATCTTCTCTCCGTTAAACAGAAATTGGGGAAAAAATAAACGGGGGCTAATAATTTAGGGGGGGCTAACAATTCTGACTTCAACTGTATTTATATATATATATATACATATACACGTGTCTGTGTGATGTATGTAAAATTTGGCCCGCGACAACGTTTGTTTTTTGCATCTGGCCCTCGGCCCAAAAAGTTTGGACACCCCTGGTCTAAGGGGTCGAATTGAGATTGCGATCTTTTTATGATTAATTGTGCAGCTCTACTATCTATCTATCTATCTATCTATCTATCTATCTATCTATCTATCTATCTATCTATCTATCTATCTATCTATCTATCTATCTATCTATCTATCTATCTATCTATCTATCTATCTATCTATCTATCTATCCGTTTTTGTTATTTATTTATTGTGTGTTTCCCATTCATCTCAGTGATGATTTTTGTAACAATTAAGTTTTAAATTCAAGAATGTTGTTATTTTATTCTAGAACTATTATTTAATTTATTTTACTTACTATTTATGAAGTAAGTTTTGCATTAATGAAATTATATACATTTAGTGAAATCATTGTGAAAACCATAATCAAAGTCTTGTAAATATTTATTTGTTATATATTTTTAATACAATTATATCTTAAAATCAGGTCGTTTGTTGAATTTTTTTTGTTTATTGTTATTAAATTCTATAACGTACACTCTCAGTAATAAAGGTACACGAGTACTTAAAGGGTCCATGTTGGTACCTCAAAAGTATATATTAGTACAAACAAATTTTAAGTGGAACACTTTTGTACTTTTTCGGTATTTATAATGTAACCTTGAGGTATTAGTATGGACCTTTTACGTACAAATTTGGGGTGGTACCGCCCCTGTGGCAGCTCGTATACCTTTATTTCTGTGAGTGTAGTTATCATTTAAATAGTTGTAATAATTGAATTTATTTAATGAATATTATGCACACTGTGACTAGCTGCTTTTCATTCATTTGTTTACGACTTAGTCCCTTTATTTATCAGGGGTCGCCACAGTGGAATGAACTGCCAACTATTCCAGCATATGTTTTACGCAGCGAATGCCCTTCCAGCCGCAACCTAGTACTGGGAAACACCCATAAACACTCATTCACAAACGATCATACGCTACTGCCAATTTAGTTTATTAAATTCCTCTTTAGCGCATGTGTTTGGAGTGTGAAGGAAAACCCGGAGCACCTGGAGGAAACCCACGCCAACACGGGGAGAACATGCAAACTCCACACAGAAATGCCATCTGACCCAGCCGAAACTCGAACCAGCGACCTTCTTGCTGTGAGGCCACAGTGCTAACCACTAAGCTACCATGCCGCCCACAATCTGCCTTTGTTGTATCATGATAAGTCAGTCTGAATAACATCTAAATGTGTTAATTGTTTGCTTAATCAGTCGTTGTTTTTTTCTGAAAGAGTTTAACAGAGATGAGCATGATCATGACAGAGCTGCAAACACTCCAGTCTTCTGCTGTTTGATTCTCTGTTTCTCTTTGTCAGGTCGCGTGTCACGGTGTGAAGGGAAAATAGCGAGTGACGGGCAGTTAAACGGATTAAGACGGTCTGGCGAGAGAAAGAATGAGAGACGCGCGAGAGAGATAGAGAGGGTGAGGATGAATAATCCAGCTAATCCAGGCCAATCCCAGCATTCAGTCTTCTCTGAGAGCACAGACAAAACACAGCGGATCACACACATCTGATGCGCTTTAGACCCGCTGTTTTGGGGGATTTTGGGACGCCGGAGGCATTCAGAAACACTAAATCAACAAATCAGGACATCATGAGTGCTAAAACTGAGAGAGGAAGATGGTCCTGGATGTCATTCATCTAACAGAAACTCAGTTTTTCTGGAGAAACAGTTTTCAGTTTTGGAGCGAATGCAGATTTAGAAGAGAAGAAACACCTGGTGGATGTTTGTAAGAGGTTTTGCATCATGTAAAACTGAGCGTGGATTACAAAGGGATTTTTTTGCATTGCACGTTTTTATGCAGAAAACTTTATTACCATTATTTATTCCCGCGATCAGAGACGGTGCAGTGTTTGGTGCTCACTGGAAGGTGTTTAAACTCTAAATCCTATTAGGCTTCTTTAGCAGGTTATTTTTAAACTCCGGCTCGGGACAGCCAGCAGCGCACGAACCGATGGATCTCATGCAAACACACTTTTCTCTTTACGTGGCTTTTATTTGAAGATGTGATGTGTTCATATGCGAGAAACACTCAATGGTGTCTTTAGTTTGAGAGAATTTTGTCTTAATGATGCTCCTAAAAACTGTTTTGAATGACCTTTTTGCAAGTTATTAGCATCAGATTGGGATTTTTTTTTTATTTTATTTGCCTATTATGAAGTTTTAATTGAATTATATCACTAAAAACACTTCTTTATTAGCTTAAACTACAAATTGGTTTAGTTTGTGGCTTCATATTTACATTTATCTCGCATTTTCAGGCATGTTTGTCCACTATTTATTTTTTCCAGGATTAGTTTGAAAGATTCACAGTCAGCTGTGTTTACATTAATCTCATGGCATAAAAGCATTTGAGTGTCTAAAAGCTCAGTCTGAAGCTATCTGTTGCTCAAAACCAGCTGAGTGCGCGATCTATTGCTTAAAACTAGCTTAGAGCGCTGTTCGCGATTAAAACTAGCTTAAGCACCACCTGCAGTTCAAAACTAACCGAGAACGGCATCTGCTGTTAAAAACTAGTTTAGAGCACCATCTGCTATTTAACCTTCATTTAACATTCATTATTAGCATCATTTGACTGCTTTATAATACTAGCATTAGACATTTTTGTAGTCTTTTTATAAGCAATTTTATCTGTTTCAGAATCTATTTTAAGGATTATTTGACTCGTGTTTATTTTTGGATCTTTTAGACCAATTATTTGACATCTGGCATTGGATTATATTGGACATCATCAGAGCTTTACCACTTACATTATTTCCTGAGATTTCCTTGATTTTTTTTTTATTGTGGATCACCATATTGTCTGGCCATGAGTCTGGGAAAGCTGCCGGCGATTAAAGGCTTGGTGTCCACGTCTCAGAGTAGACGGCGCTTTAAGAGCGAGCTGTCGGTGGACATGATCAGTCCGCCGCTCGGAGACTTCCGCCACACCATGCATGTGGGACGTGGTGGAGACGTTTTTGGGGACACCTCATTTCTGAGCAACTACGGCGGCTCTGGTCACAGTGATGCCCAGCGGTGTCCAGATTCACCACCAGGCTCCAAAACGACACGGTTTCTGTCACGAACTCTTCAGCACGTGCGGAAGACGCCTGCGCCCCGGCCGAGAGGAGGGTCCCGGGACTTCTCTTCACCGCCTCCACCGATCTCACCCATCATCAAAAACGCCATCTCTCTGCCTCAGCTCAACCTGAGTAATGGTGGCCTGATGAGGACCATGCTGCACACCTCCACCAGCTCTCCGGACCGCCCGCTCTGCTCCTACGGTACTGCATTCACAACACATCTTAATTTCTAGGGATGCAAAGAATTTTCAGCCAAAAATGGCATTTTCACTAGTGGCCATGTAGAAAAAAAGTTCTGTGTTCAAAGCGCTGGTTTCACACCCCCTGCTTGTAGTCACGGGTGTGAAGTGGCTTACACACTGGACATGGAAAGTGCTGCGCTATGAAGCCTATTCATTTCAATGGCTTAGTTAATCGCTGCGTTGACCAAAGTGCAAAAGCAAAAGGGCTGCACATTATAATGTCACACCATTGATATTGCAATTTGCCAATCTGCAATAGTCGCTATTGCTAATTGCTATCAATGTTGAGTTGTGACTATAATTAAGCAGAAAACACAGTTCAGAACAAAAGTTTAATCCTAATAGTGGGAAAGATTTTTTAAGGTTTGTGACTGTGTAAGATTTCAAGCAATTTAAACCATTCGGGCACTAGAAATGGTAAATTATGTAGCTTTTACAAAGACTAATTGTATTTAATTATTTCTATAATGAATAGTTTTAGGACAAGTTTGATGAAAGATTTTTGATCCGCTCAATACTGTTAGGCCCAATCCCAATTCTACCCCTTAGCCCTTCCCCTTACCTTTTTACAGTGTCTGCTATAATGTTAATGTTGTCTTCTTGTGTTTACATGATGAATATGGCCACAGTGTAAATGCACAGTACAGTTATGATCTTATTGCCACATTATATCATCATGATAGCATAATATATGCCTTCAGTGATCTCCTGAAGATAAAATAGCACAACTGGAATAACTACAGCAGTCGTCTGATGTCACATGAAGCAAGAGATCACGATGACATGATGATGTGTGCAGGTGCTGTAGTGCTGTCCCATTTCTTAGGGGTAAATTTGAAGCCCTTCCCCTTCACACTCGGTTTCAAGGGCCAAGGGGAAGGGAAAGGGGTACAAAAATAGAATTGGGACTGGGCCTTAGACTCTCCACAAATCCACAAAGCAGCGTTTATTCAATTGGTATTTTTATTCTATTTTCTTAATTTATGCTTGTAATATGTTTCATATTTTTATGCAGTTTCACTCCTCTACAAAGTCATCACAATCAGTGTAAAATTGTGATTTTTCTTTTCAAATAGAGTTATACGTCATCTTCGGAAAGTATATTCATATCGCAATATATCTTGCAGACAAACATATGAGCATTCCACTCTTGTACAATTATATTTATCAGTGCATGAATCACAGGAAAAGCAAAGTCTGATCAAATAAGGCACCAAGACATTTCTATGTAGTATGCTAGCTCCTGCTGCTTGCAGTAGTGCTTCTGTGCTGTCATGGCAACGCTGGTAATCTGACGCATCTCGACTCCTTCACTCTCAGTAAAATGCTCTTATTGTATTGGCTTGTGCTTTTTAAAATAAGTACATTTAAGTTATCAAATTAAATTTTAAAGTCTTACGAAATTATATAGTTTAATAAATTAATAAATAATTATTACAATGCAGTTTTGACTTAATTTGTTTTTGCCCAAGTGCATGAGGGGTTTCAACCCAAAATTTTTATTTCAGTGCATCGCATGTCATTAATATAATTTAAGGATGCATCGATAATATCAGGCTCAATACTGAGCTCATGTAATCGTGCTCTTAAAAAAATGTAGATACCAAACAGCGTTACCTATACTTTTGAAGATTACACAACTAGGCATGGGCTGGTGTAGGTTTTTGACGGTGTGATAACCTTGAATAAAAAAAATCAAGGTTTCACCGTACCACAGTATTGTGATTACCGCTCTAAAATATAATAATTTTAAATGTCTGAGTAAAAAACAACATTTTCTCCATTGAACACTATGTATTTTATTTTAAGAAACATTTATAATATTTTGGAGCAGTAAACATCTCAGATTAAATAAATCAAATAAATCATTCTCAAATCTCTTTATTAGTTTCAAAAACATAGATTTCTTTACAACACTAAAAAGGCATATAGACACCCTTACATATAGCTTAGGCAGAGTAAAACAAAATATTCTAGCGGTTTTTAAAACCTTGAATTTTCCAAACCACGGTAAACCTTGAAACTGGTTATCGTCCCATGCCTATACACAACATTGAACATTGTTGCATAGTATTCTGTATAAACATTTGTTCAGTAAAATTAGTTTTGCAGCTATTAGAAAACTTAGTGATGCTTTATTAATAGGCCTATTATCATTATATTATTTTATTATGGCTTTGGTTTGGTACTGTTAACTTAATATGCTACTTTGCAGAAAAAGAGAGTAAAAAACTTTGAGTTATTGTTGTGAAGCGGTCCTAAAATTAGTCTTAAAACAAAACAAAAAGCATAGGCATCAATATGAGTATCGGTGAGTACCAATAAAAATATCAGTACTACCGGTAATACTCGTACTTTAAAATATGGCGTAACTCTGTATAAAGATGACAACACATGACGTTCAACTTACCTGTTCACATGACAGTGGATCAACACTTTGTAATTTCTTTAGGTTCTCATTACTTCAATAGTATATTATATCTGAGACTATGTTCACACTCGGCACTGTTTTTAAATCTGCTAGTGTCTGTTTTACATAATAATCATAAGGAGTAAACTGTGTTCTCGAAAACACTCCGAGCATCGTATTTTTAACCTCACCGCTGGCATCTTGTGCTGTCGTAGCTAATCATTTTGCGGCCATAACATTTAAGAGATTGTTTTATTTCTAAGAGAGTAAGGAAGTCTTTTATAGTACTAAAATGATAATGATTTTATTTTATGCAGACGGGCATGATTGTGCTGTTTTTGCAATGAGGTCATAGAAAGCAATTGACAATGTGCCACTTGAACACTGGAGACTCTGAGAAAACACAGAGACAAACTATGATGACCGCAGGCATCAATAACTGAATGAGCTTCATCAGGAATGACTCGAGTTTGAGTTACACACACCTGTAGAAACAAATAGTGATGTTTCAGTGTGTGTGTGTGTGTGTCTGTGTGTGTGTGTGTGTGTGTAACGCCTCTGGAATTCAGGAATTTCCCTCATTCTGAGAAACCCAAAACCATCTCTAAAAGCTGACAGCTAAATATACTGTAACCCACAATATAAGCCCAGAGATCTTATCCTGCCACCTGCTGGACATTACTGTGCATCACACACACACAAAAGTCAACAAGTCAATGCAGGCATTTCTATTGATATTTTGTCTTCTCACTAACAGTTGTACTTTATAATTAAAAACAAAAATAGCATAAGTAAATAATTATGGAAACACAGCAAAAAAAAATAAAAGCATACAAAAAATAATGACATGAGCTTTACATTTTAAACAGGCTGCCAAAATCAGCAAAAAACTCCCCAAAAACACCTGCAATACTTCCTAATTAATGCTTTAAAATAAATATTTGTGGGTTTAAAATGTTTATCTTAAACCTAGTTTTTATAAAAGGGGCTACTTTAACACGTATAAAAACATATATATGTGTTTTCTGAAAATAGATACTCCACAGCGATGGACATTTGAAAACTGTCTGTGTAGGATATTTGATTCGTTCACACAAAAAATTGACCTGGAAAAATTAAACTGATATAGGTTCTGAATGTTGATTACGATTTGTTTTTCGATGAATTACTCAGCCCTAATGATGCTCTTGGTTTGCCTATCTTTGACTGGACTGTTCTTGCAGAAAAACTGAAATAAGGAACTAACCTTGGAAAAAAGGGGCATCTGGTCACCCTTCTGGTGGAGTAAAACAAGGCTACTTAAAATGGATTGGACTATAGCCACTCAGCACTTGTTGTGTTTTTTTTGTGTGTGCTTGTCTTTAATCTACTCTGTAAACACATACTTTACATGTGCATGACATCATTGTTTTAAAGACTTTTATTTTTGTGTGTTTACACGGAAACAACAATGGCGGCATTTTCAAAAACGCCACTGAAATCGTTGTTGTGTAAACGGCCCTTTATTAAAGATGTACTGAAACCAATTCTAACTAAAATCTAAATAGTTTTAACTAATAGTTTTATTGGTTTATTCTTGTTTTGATTATGTTCTTATCTACAGTGTTTTAGTTTTAGGGTTGTAACGCATTTTGGGCAGCCCTTTGGTTATGCATTTACATTTAGTCTTTTAGCAGATGCTTTTGTCCAAAGTGACTTACAATTGAGGAGGCATTCAGTGATTCAACAAGAAGATGCAATACATGCAACAAGGGCTGATTATACAGAATAACCTTTTGTGCTCAGAGATTTAAATGCTAGAGTAAAGAGGGGATGATTCTTTTTTTTTGAAGAAAAGAGTTTTAACAGGTGGTTTGTCAAGCCCACTCACCTGTGTGAAGCACACTTCATAAATGCTCAATGTTTTATTATGATTAGTTATGATATTTTTATGGATTGTAAGAAAGTGTCTGGTGCACTATACACTGTGCACTTATGCACTATGTACTTATGCACTTACACACTCAACAGCATAGTATAAATGTAGTGTCGTCCCAAATGAAACACTATTTTTTTTTTACCAAGCGGAAATTCAAACCATTTTCATGATGACGTTTGACGGTCGCCAAATTAGCAAGATAAATGACCAAACTACCAAATAACACCTGCCATCAGTATAACCGCATTCACCATCGGGAGGTGCTATAATCACTCTTGTAGGAAAATTTTGCTTTCACAATAAAACAGAAATGATGTAATCCAACATGTGTGCCCAATAGCTCCGCCTCTTCCCCTACGTGAGCAAAGCTGCGGTCGTTAAGTGCAAGAAGTGTCCATCATTACACACTTTATTTTACCTTTTGAACAAGTGCATCATCCGGGTAATTAAAGTGCACTTATTATTTTAAGTTAAGTAGTTAAGCACTACTATTTATACTGCAAAATGGCGAAGAATAGTGCATAAGTGTGCGATTTGGGATGCACGTTGTGTTTTCTTCAGGTGGTTAATTTGTGGTTGTCATGTAGCGAGGTGTGGGAGACATGAATAAGAGGGGTCTTTGTTTTATTCACAGAGGTTCAGGTGATCTCAGAAAACATGGGTTTTTAGTTGTAAGTTGTAGTAGGGCTACATATGGTTCTGCATCAATATCAAAGTGCGTACCTGCAATAGTCACATCACATGGTATGCAGTGTTGAGTCTAAATTATAGTTGAACCGGAGCCGCAGAATTGTATTTAATTACTGTGTTTATACAGAATATATGCAATTAATACAAAAAAAAATTTCTAGTCCGAATATCTACATTTCATTGGCAGATCATTTCACTCTTTTTAAGGAAAAACTTAAAAGGGGTTACATACCAGATGCGCTACTCGGTAATGCGCCACACAGTGCCATGGATTTTAATTTGTATTTTAATGGATTTTAATTGTAAAGGGTATTATTTAGGGTAGACACACTGGTGCTGCAAGTTGGCATATTTCTGCCAAGCCACAGAGCGCCTTCTGAATAGCTTCATATTAAATAACATTCAAATGTGCATGTCTGGTGTGCGATACTTCCAACTGTTATGTGCGCGCCATGTTGTGGTGCATCTGATGTGCGACTCCCTTAAGGCCCAATCCCCATTCTACCTCTTAGCCCTACCCCTTACTTCTACGCCTTGTTTTGTGCGTTCTCGCGAAGGGGTACGGGTGTCCCCAGGGCCGGAATGGGACTCCTTTTCAGCCCTGGAGTTTTAAGCCTTAGACCAGCCCAAACAGCTGCTTTAGAACTTGTTTTTCATAAATATGAGAAGATTAAAGGGTAGCCAAATCTCCAACACTATTCTTTAAGATCACAGTGTCCTTTCTTATATCTGAATATATATTCATGTGCAAAATTCTTTATAGATATCCAGTCATTTGTAACGGTGATCGCACAAAAAATAAAAATAAAATATTTACACCTGCATAAGTAACTCAAACAGTATGTCTGTCTTACCACTAAAAATAAAATGTATTCAGGTGGGGTTCAAACACAGGTCTGCGGAGTTGTAACACAATGTGCTGACCACTGGACCACAATAGCGCTATTATGGCGATGTGTCTGGAATGAAAAAATAAGTACTGTCACTGTTCATTTTCACCTTTTTGGATTTCTGATCAAGTTATGTCATATTTATTAATGTAGTGAATCATCAAATTTTTTTTGAGCAGGTGTAATATTCATTAATATTAATTATTCGAAGGTGCCTCTGTTTGGGGTCGAATGACCTGTAGGCTGCATTTTGCTCACAGGGCTGCGAGAAAATAAAAAGAGCGGAGCTGCGGCAAAATAATGAATAAAAAGAGTGAGGCTATGGTCAAATAAATAAATTAATAAATAAAGTGCGGCGGCTAAGAGTGCAAGCAGCTAGAGACAGCGGCCTTCGCGGCCAAAAAATGGACCGGCTCACCGGGAATTCTCCCGGTCCTCCCGATTAGCCAATCCGGGCCTGGGTTTCCTAATTCTTTTTAGCTTGAAGATGTAGGGCTAAGGGCAAGGGGTAAATACCCTTCAACAAAGATTTTTCAGGGCCAAATTCAAAACCAAGGGGTAAGGGGTAAAATTTCCCAGAATACACCAGCCACAGCGGTAGTATACCTGCACCTGGAAGTAAGGAGATCCACAAATTAATATTTTTTGTTATTATTACAGATTTTGACAACAAACAAACACATGATTTAATATATTAATAAACGCATTCGTGTTTAACCATCATGCCTTAAAAAAAAAAAAAAAAAAACTAAATTTTATCTGTCTATGATCCCTAATAATAACTCCTGTACAGCAGTCCGACAACATTCTGACACTCGAATACCCTGTCAGAAAAGTCTAGTGGCTAGGAATGAGCTTTTTACAGCGTCAACTATAATGGTAATGCTGTTTTTGTGTGTTTATATTGATGAATATGGCCACTGTGTAAATGCACAGTACAGCTACGATCTTATTGCCACATTAGATCATTATGATAACATAATATATGCCTTCAGTGATGTCCTGAAGATAAATACCAGAAAAAAACACAACTGGAATCACTACAGCAGTCGCCATCGTCTGATCTCATATGAAGCAAGAGATTGCGAGGACATATAATGATGTGTGCAGGTGCTGTAGTGCTGTCCCAATTCTTAGGGGTACAAAGGTCAAAGGCGAAGGGGTACAAAAATAGAATTGAGATTGGGCCTAACTCTCTAATTTTGGCCTATTTTTCTTCTCAAGTTGAAAACAAAACATTATTTGTACTTGATCTAAGAATTTTTAGAGATTTGGACTAGAAACAAGATAAAGGAAAGTAAGAAAAGCATTTATTTCATTGTGATTATTCAATCTCTGTACCTGAATACTGTTTGTCTCACCAGAAAATCATCCAAAAGAGCTAATCAAACTAACTTGTGAAACTGTGTTCAAATCGCAATATTCATCACAGAAAAATAAAATACTGCAATGTCTGATTGTTCCAATATTGTGCAGCCTGTATGAATAAAGTAAATTGATTGATTGATTGATTGATTGATTGAAATGTGTTATTTTTCCCTCTCTTCTCCTGCAGGTCTTCCATCTGGTTTCGTCACGCTGCCTCGTTTCTCTCGACTGGACCAGAGCTTTGCAGAAGCGCCTGAATCACCCCGTACTGACAGTCGACGCAGCAGTGAGGTCTCGTTGTCGCCATCTGATTCGCTGTCGTCCTTCACGGTGGACCTTGGCCCCTCCCTCATGACTGAGGTTCTGGAGATAATTGACAACTCCTGCAGTCTCCTGAAGAGCCGCGAGGAGGAGGACGAGGATCAGCGGAGCGCAGGGTCTGACAGGGAAAATCAGCTGTCCGATGACTCTGTGCTGCGTTCGGTCACTGCAGACGTGGCCATCGAGCCCAGGAGGTTCCAGCAGGCCGCTAGCATGCTAGCACGACACTTTGGAGGAAGAGCTGAAGAGGAGCGGCAGAGACCTTCATCTTTTAGACACACAAGGACGCCGTACAGCTTCACTGAGACAGAGGAAGAAATCAAAGTATGAGCGGCAGGAATTGAAGAGCTGTGACATTACAAATCCAGTTAATTTAGCTTTAAGATAAACATCATTTGGGCGACATGGTGGCTTAGTGGTTTGCACTGTCGCCTCACAGCAAGAAGGTCGCTGGTTCAAGCCCAGCTGGGTCAGTTGGCATTTCTGTGTGGAGTTTGCATTTTCTCCCCGTGTTGGGTTTCCTTCAGGTGCTCTGGTTTCCCCCACAGTCCAAACACATAGGTGTTCACCTATAGGTGAAGTGTTGATCTAAATTAATCGTAGTGTATGGGTGTTTCCCAGTGCTGGGTTGCAGCTGAAAGGGCATCCGCTGCATAAAACATATACTGATAAGTTGGTGGTTCATTCCGCTGTGGTGACCCCTGATAAATAAAGGGACTAAGCTAGGGGTGTCCACACTCTTGGAGGGCCGGTGTCCTGGAGAGTTTAGCTCCAACCCTAATCAAACACACCTGAACCAGCTAATTAGGCTCTTACTAAGTATACTAGAAACTTCCAGGCAGGTGTGTTGAAGCAAGTTGGAGCTAAGATCAGCAGGACACCGGCCCTCCAGGACCGACTTTGGACACCCCTGGACTAAGCTGAAAAGAAAATGAATGATCTTCATTTTAAGTCCACTTAAAATTTGTTTTGGAGTTTAAAATGGAGATTTCTGGACGTTTAAAAGGACCTGAGTGAGAGCTGTTGTACAGTATGAGTGGAGAGCTGCATGGTGTTTTTACTAGCATTAATCTGATGCATGATTAAACTTTTCCACACTGTTAATTTTGGAATAAATTGTATTCAAAGAATCTGCCCTGTACATACATTCACAAGTACATTATTCTTCTTATATTATTGTTGATATATGTGCATGCACTAACAGTAAAAGGAATCTAATAAACAGGATTTGTACAAGATTCTTTTATACATAGATCTGTTTGATTGTAACATTTACATTAACAAAAAGTAAAGCAGATTTATATGTTGGTCTACTTTTAAACTTATATATGATTTCAGAGATCATATGTGTAATTTTTATTAATCTCATGAATGACTAATGTTTATATTTGCAGGATACACACACACACACACACACACACACACACACACACACACACACGTAAACAATTACAATAAAGATATTTTCAGGAGAGGATCAAAGTCATTTATTTGTAAAGTGTTTAAAATATAAAAGACCATTGTAATTACAAATTCAGGCAAGGCGTACGAAAAAATTAAATAAAAATAAACTGCATTAAAAATGTTAGTTTTTAATTACGCTTTTTCAAAAAAGAGCCAATAGAGATCAGAGATAAGGCTCGCGTCATTAATATTCAACAATATGTAAATGACGCAGAGTCCGTTGGGAATTTGAAAAATCTTCAGCTTCGAGCCGAGCGCAGGGCTGTGTTGCCTGTGAGGAAACATCAATTAATGAGTTTTAGTGCTGTTGATTTATATTTTAAGCTAAGAAAGTATAATTTCATCAGTTATATTGTAGAGACGACGGAAAAGCAGCCAAGTTCATGATTCTTTTTCCTGTCAGGACAGCAGGTTCGAAGCTCCAGGCGCGAAACAAGCTGGAAGATTAAATCGGTCGTCATTTTCGCCTCAGTAAGCTTAAATAACAGCAAACACGACACTTCACAGTGTTAAAAACGGCTCCTGTGTTGTTTTACATTACATGAAGGACAGAATCGTCGTCAGAAAGAGCAGAGATCAGGTTAGTAATTAAATGTTGTCAACTTTACGTAAATGAATAGTAAATAATGCTCCGCTTTAAAAGTGGTCATTGTCCAAACGTACAAATAAACCATACGGCAGTTAGTTTTTAAGATGTTTCACCATTTTGTATCTAAAACGTGTAATGTTAGCCAGCATGTGCACATCTCTCTTGCTCATCCTCTTATAGTTGAATATAAGCATTTATTTCTCAAACACAGGTGCTGGGAGACTCAATCACTAATGTGGAGGAGTCATCAGGTGAGTGGAGTTTTTAATTTAGTCGGAAATCAGTTATAAGGCATTGTACATGTACTGTGTGGTCATTTTTCGTTTTAGTAAAGTTAGGGATAACGTTACTGTAGGCAAAAGCTTACCACAGGTGCATTTGGGAGAGATGTGATGTCTGGATAATGAAAGTTATTAGTATTGTGGATGAATCTTGCAAGCAAACAAGATTAACATGTTTTTAGTAACATGAAATCTCCTCAAAATGAGGAAAACTGAAGTGAATTGTAAAACATCAATTTAACTGTAATGCATTGGTTAAAAAAATAGACATAGGTCATACAAACTATCTGTTAAAACATCAATTATCTGTTTATAGTTATACACTTATATACACTAAAACTTGCAGTAATGTCATTGATCAGAAATATTGGTTTTGATGTGTTATTTATTTTTACAAAGTAATAAACTTGCACTTGTAATGCTTATAAGCAGGCATATACTTCAGTATACCATAGTCACATCTGAGAAAAAGAAACCTCTCAGGTAAATTATTACAATATGTTATGTTTTAAATTCAGGTAATCTGCTGTAGTTTTGTTTAGAAAAAAAAATAAACAGTTCTGACCGACAAACAAACTTAAAGTTGTCATTAGACAGAAATTGAGATTATAATTAGGGTTGGGTTGATAGATGATGCCATCTGGCAACACGATCCTCCGCCCCATCCCAACAGCAAAAATACACACTTAGACCCCGTTTACACTAATTCGTCAGGGTTTTAAAATGGCATTTCAGAACTGAAACGATCCACATCCACACTGGTGTTTCATCCAGCATTTCTAAAAAGCCCTCTTTCCCCTACTATACCGCTGAAAACACACATCACGTGACCAAACACACACACTCACAGGCATGCACTGCAGCATATGTGCACGTCTGAGCTCCAGCTGTCAGCCGGTGCTTGGAGCATAAAACCCCAGAGAGCAGTGCATGTCGGACAGTTTATCAAGGATGTAACCTTTCGCGCTGGATTGTGTCTAAAACATGATTATTTAATTAATCTTGTTTCTTTCTCTTATGTATTTTGAATCTATATCAGGTGTCACAGTGTCAGTACACTGCTTCAGTCTTTGACTCTTACGCTTGTACTTACAGTATCTTCGTTTTGAAGAATCCCCCCTTCCACCCCAACTCCTCCTTTCCTAGATGGGTGGCACGGTGGCCCAGTGGTTAGCACTATTACCTCACAGCGTCACTGGTTCTAGTCCTTACCAAGCCAGCCAATGTTTCTGTGTGTAGTTAACACATTCTCTCCGTGCTCATGTGGGTTTCCCCAGGGTTCTCCGGTTTCCTCCCACTGTCAAAAAACATGCAACTTAAGTTAACTGACTAATTCAAATCAGCACTATAGACATGCTCCTAGTCAGAAGTTACCTCTTAAGAGCGATCACTATCTGTTTATAAGCTACTACATCTGGGGAGTTCTCGAGATCTGCCCCAGCTCAAACTCCCCTCTCGCCTTGCAAACGGGAGGGAGCCCCGGACTTGAGGATCTTGTGAGCTCAGGGTTTCTCCCGGGACAGCATGCCAAACACGCTTTGTAATCAATCATCAGCTAAGTGCGAACTCTTGAAGAAATTTTAGTGAAAACCTCAGATACCAGAGTCCCGCGAAAAAGTGATTGACTGGTGGTAAATTGTGTGTAATTTTTTTTAATTAATTAATTTATAATTTTTTTATGGGTAAAACAAAGACCCTACAGGTCAGGTAGTTGAAATGGTAGGCTACAAATAATTAATTATTTATGAATTATTCATAAATAATTAATTTACCCCTATATACGACGACAATGCCATTGTCCGTTGCAATGTTTCACATTAGACATCGTACGATGCCAAATTGGTCAACATCGCCCAACCCTAATTATATAAATGTTCAGATACCTCGTTTAAGAAGCACAACTATATTATACATATTAAAATAAAAAGAGAAGACTTTAATTTCATGCTGACATAAGTCATGATGTCAGCAGCTATGCTACCATTTAAAGATGCAAATTAAATTTATGCGCAAAACTGGAATATGGCATAAAAGACGTGCAAATATAGGTGCGTTTCCATCCAACAAGTCAAAGAAAATAATAGTCACTGATAAACTGGCGCCAAATATCAAACGCAAAATGGAATTCGCTGTGGTAGGAAAAAACTGCGTCAATCTTTTCTTTGTTTATTAAATTACTTGCCCGTCAGAAGACAGTATGCTAACACACAAGTAGCGTGTGGTAAAGGTGTGAGATACGAAGCACAGACCCTCTTGACAGTCCTAGAGGTCATTAATAATATAATAACACTAATACTGAAATGGTTCAGGCGTTTTAGAATGAGCAAAACAACATTTCAGATGTTGTACAGTGTGCTCAGCCTGCTGGTTTATCACACACACATTATTTATTCACACACATTTTTATCATAACACGATCTCTTATAACAAAATTACATGACTTTTTTTAATGCACATATTGGAATTTTGGTCAAAGTTTTTTTCCATTGTAGTTTATGCACATCTTTATGTTATGCGCATACGTTTTTTTATGCTCATTTTCAGCATTTATGCACATCTTTGTGTTTCCATCAACCAATATTTTATACGCATATCCAAAATGCACTTTAAATAGGTGGGTGGAAACATAGCCATAACATTGGGCAGATGTATGTATCTTGAAAAATGCCATGTTGGAAGTTATTTTGTTGATCCACTGTCAGCTGTCAGATGATTTTTAACTTGATTTTTTTATATCTGTGTTTAAAAGATGGAAGTTAAAGCCTGATGCACAGCTAATTAAGAATTGATATAATAAAATGTAATAGTTGGAAGATAAATCTTAGTGAGTGAATTTTTTTCTCAACTCGCAGGAGTACACCCACAGACAGGTGAAATCAGGTTTGGATCAAATTGTGGAGAAACCATCTATCAGGTAAGTGAATATTCTCCCAAAAAACTGATTCAGTTCAGTGAAGGATTGTCAGACTGATTAAAATCGGCAAGTCATTTTTATAAACCATTTACAATCTGACCTTTGTCTAAATCTATAAAGCAAATTTCCCTTGAATTTCTAAGTCACTCCAATGCAAGGATGACACTTTTGCTCACAAATTATACAGCTTTTTAGGGTGCTTTACACCTGTGAATTGATTCAGTTGTTCCGA